TGCAAGCGGATACATACAAGTATATTTCGCAGAGGTGACGAGAGGCAAAGCTCGTAGTAGCCTCAACAGCTGCCAGGCTTCAAGTTTGAGCAGGGAGACCCTGGCAGGTAGCACATCCTTGCAGAGGCGGCCATGTCTCAATTTTCAGTGCTGCACAGCTTGTCCTCTGCTGTCAAAGATTACACCGTCCTCGGGGTCGGACTCTTGGTGCTCAAGGGGTAGGCCCCAAAATAGAGCTATACGAGTCCGCATTGTGCAGAAAGTCAGATTTCTCTGCCTAGTACCTTTGCAACCGCCGGAACCTGCTTTTGAACATCCTATTCACTGCTCTACAACAATCTTAAGGAATGCTTTTTGTTAAGCTTGGCCTTGGGACAGCACAGCATCCCTTGGGGTTGCGAGGAATTGGTGTGCAAGCATGGCTTCAGGGTTTTGTCGCTGTCACCTGCACACAACAGTGAGACGGTATCTGACATGAATGTTTCATAACCTTTTCAGTTGTCCAAAAGCAGATCAACACTAGACAGAAATTATATATGCTAATGCAGCCTCTACTTGGAGCTAGTAGTTACATAGCATACAAAAAAGGCTGAAAATGTAATAATAAAAAAAAAAGTTTAAAAAAAAGTGGAGGTATTCCACTTGTCTTTCCCCAAAATTATGCCTTCAGAGCAAAGAGGTGCAGCGTCAATCGAGTTTATAATCTCTTTATTTTCCTTCATATACAAATGTGGGAGATGGGGCATATAATGTCAAACGTCAAGTTGCATGGCTTGCAGCGTCACGAGGCGCCCTACCCCGTATGGCAGAAAAGCAGCAGAAACGTTTCATACAACACAAGCAAAAAACAAGATACTATACCGATTTGAACCTCAATCGTAATGTGAAAACGTGCACTACGTGCTGCCGCTGAACAATTTCCAGATGTTGAGGCCCGAGACATTGGGATGATACACATGCAATCACGAGTAAGCTTGAATCCGTGCGACTATCTCGCGCGACACTCATCACGGTAAATGAGGAGCCCGTTTTCTACCGAGATCTTTCGTGCAAGCGCATTGAGAAAATGTTCTATTCAGACCGTATTAGAACCACGTGATTAGAAAACAGCGTATTAAGCACTTACCGACAACACCGCTGAATTCGCATCGCTGAACTTCTTAGCTGTCGTCGCCCCTGTAACATCCAAAGAACGCGACTCGCAACACACCGACGCACGGTGATGTCTTCGTTGCAGCAAAATGTGTCGTCAGCAACGCACAAGCTGAGAGCACTTGCTGCTCGGCTGTCGGCAAAGAGGGCCCCTCGCGACGCCGCCAAAGCTTCCGGGGCAACTGTCAAAGCCAGCGAGTATCGGGTAGTATTCCCCGATTACGTCCCTGGCGAACCATGAGCCGAACATATAAAAAACGTAGCGATGGTTCGTAAAAGCTCGATTTGGCTCGCCCCGCTTGCAAGCGTGAACGCCTCCATCTTCATTGCCTTTGGCAACTTTGGCTGCCTGACTACTACAAAGTTATCTCCATCGCCAAACTCAATCGTGACGACATTCTGACGTCACCGCTAACTTTATTATTTCACCAGCATAACTCGAACTTTCTCGGAATCCGCAGAAAAAACCTCAATCGCAACGTCACATCACGTGACCAAAAGGGCAGCCAATCAGCGACCGATTGAGTTAACTTCATCGTTGACTTTGCCATCTAGCATAGACAGACGGATCTCGGCGAATAGCGCGGTGCGGCGACACGTGGAAAACAGACGCGCAACTCCGGCTCCCGTACGGAGCTAGTCGTCTGCTCCTTGCGCACGAGTTACGGTGACGTCAGAAAGACGCCGAACTCTGATTGGCTCTGACTGAAGAATAGTGGGTAGACCTCAAAGCAAGCTGCCTCGAGGTCTACCCACTGTCCTTCATTCAGAACCAATCAGAGCTCAGCTTTCTGACGTCACCACATCCCCTGCGAAGGAAGCAGACGACTTGCTCTCCGCATAGAGGAACTCTACAACAAATATTTGTTATTTAATTGCAATAACGTTGTGAATGCCAAACACACACCCCGTACTAGTATTTTCCATCGCACTATCGTGAAAGCAAGTGTTAGGTTGGCAACGCTGTCACACTATAAATGCAGAGTATGTGATAACTGAGTTAAGCCAATCCGTACGGCGGCATGTTTGAAAAACCCGTTACCCTAAATAACGTGATCGGCTGGTCAGCAAATCTAGGAATTCTGCAAACGCCCATCACAATAGCTGAGCTGGAGCTGTGGTCGCAGCTGGAGACCTGCTATTTATTTCGTTTCGGGTACGTAAAGTTTTCCACTCACAGGAGTAAAACGCAAACAAAACAGAAAACGCCAAGATGTTCACGTCGGGTGATGTCTGTGCATTAAAAGCCCTATTGTTACTCAGATTTCTCTTAACGTCTTTAACTCTTTGATGAAAAATATTTTTAAGTGCATTCACTCTTGCGTAAGTAAAGAGTTGCCATTGAAACTACCAGCTAGTCAAATCATCCCTTGAAGATACGGACTGCTAATCTTCAACTGCGTCGTCAGGATGGCCGAGCGGTCCAAGGCGCTGCGTTCAGGTCGCAGTCCGGTCTTCCGGGCGTGGGTTCGAATCCCACTTCTGACATCACTTTTGCCGGGTATCGATTTGCGATTTGTAGAGGAGGTTCGTCCTGGGCCCTGTGGGGGCACTAAAGAAGATTTTGAGTCTGTCTTTTTGTGGTGTAAACTAAATCTATGTGCCCCTGCGCATCTCAAAAAACCTCCCCAAAAAATCATGCGTAACCCTTTTTTCTGATTAAAAACACGGCTAAACGTCGCGGCACGACACTTTTTTCTTTTTTTTCAGATATATCTCAGAAAAGGGAAACCGTCCCACGTAATTATAATTTGGGATTTTCTAAGACGCTTGGACGCATACATTTAATCTTAAAAATACGATTTCAAAATCCAGTTTCGTGACCCCTTTAAGCCGGTGGTATTTTTAGCTACCTAAAGTTAACACATTTTGGGAATACCCAAGCTTTACTTTTTCCGTCATACTATTTATTATCTCTGAATAAAAACCTGACGGGCACTTACTCACACTTGTTAGCAAATGTGTCACACATGAACCCACTCCGCTAGTGTACATATAATGGCAGAAAAAACCCTAGACCTTTCTTCTATAATATCCTGAAGTTACCCGGAGACATGTAATGTGGTACTTAACCAGCAAACATAAAATATTAAAGTCAAATGCTATTGTGCCCTACTTACGCCAACCTATTATTATGATATAGCACGTGTTTTACCTGGGGAAAATGTCACTTACCTTTAAATAACACGTAAGTGAACAAAGCGAACTATTCTTTACACCGCAAGGAACCGGTGATCACGTCAAAACTAGAGCACCAGCGGACTAATGTTGTTTTGGAAGTCTTAAGGGCCGCCCAGACTAGCGAGAAAACGCGCGTGGCACGCCGATCGCGGCAAGTAACAAAATGTCGCCGAAGCACAGTCAGCGCCACGAGCACGTGCAGAGACACGCCCTTTATCTTCCCGCTTAACCGATTTATCGGCGCGCCGGGCGCGTTTTCTCGCTAGTGTGGGCGGCCCTTTAAAGAGCGATAACGTCTTTCCGCGGAAGTACGGCTCCACAAGCATAGCAAAGTTGAGTGTTGACTACCTGAGTACTTAAAACCAATTTCACGTGGGTATAAAAAATGTTTGTTCAGAAAAGCAACAGCTGGTACTTATTCTTGGATGGAAAGCATGCTGATACGCACATATGGAGAGGGGAAAATAACGTAAACTTGTTCACATGACCCCATCAATTTTCATTTACTTCCTTTTTCTTCGTTACTCGTAATATTTCAATTATTACTTTGCATATGTTCCGGACATGAAAGTTCGTTTGTCTCGTTTATTTTTAAACGCTTATCTTTTTATTTTATTTTTTCTTTACTTTTTTTTTTATAAATGTTTATTATTCTTTTGTGAATCATTATTCCGCTAGTATAAGGTTGCGTTACAAACTTCAGAGCTAACAGACAGAAGAGGGATACACATATTTAGGTTGCGACATTATACGATAAGCATGTCTTTCACAGTCAAATGCCCGAACTGCCAGACAAACTCGCCGTCCGCGACTTCTATGAGTAGACGTAAAAGTCTCACATTTTAGGACAAACAAGAAATATCGTGGTAGGGTTTTACCTCTCAAAGCAACGGACAAGGGACCGCCCAGAGTATTACACACAACAAATGACAAATACGGCGTAATATCTGTGTTTCTTTTTTTTCTTTTTTTTTTGTATGTCAAAGGTTTTGTTTTACTCTAAACATGCTAGGCGTGCACCAGTTCGCCTGCGTTTTTATCATTTTTTCGTTTACGCGTTAGAAGCTGTCGCTCTATCGAGTCAATGACCACTGAAGTTGAAACCATTTAGAAACCATAGTTGGAATGAGAAAAGGGCGAAAAGTCGTCATTTGCCGTTCAACATAGAACCCTAGCTGGATTTAGTGCACTGCTTCGTATTCACGGGCTATTGGTGTCCCAAGACTTTGCACAAAGTTTACATTTGCGGTGAGTTCAGACGTTGCCAGAGAAAACAAACGATTGTTTTGCGTTTTAAACATTAAAAATAGCTGATATTAAAGGCAGATAGGATTATCCTGACTTACCACAGGATTGAGACGCTCAGCGAGGATCCTAACTTTTTTAGAAGTGAAAACGAGCACATTATGCTCCTTCTGTAATTTGTGATGTAAACAAAAGGGAAAAGAATCGTGCAAATATAAACTTAATGCATTGCACGACTACTAAACGGGCCTTGAACAACATTTAGAATATTTCTTTAGTTGAGGCAAATAATAACTGACGCGCAACAAAAACGACGCAGCCATTGAAACGAAACCGAAACCAGATTAGCGACATTTTTTGGCAGCTCGATGGACGGCGACAACAATTCTTTCGTCACATCCGCATTTTTTATTTTCCTTCCCGCGTGATTCTCGAGCGTAAAATGGCGTCGCCCAGTTCGCCCGCGCTTTCGTCGCGGTTCCAGCTGTTGTACAAGGCCAAAACACCGCCGTGGAGGGAAACCTACCGCAACCGGTGCCGTGACAGCCTTCGAAGGAACCGACAGACCCTTTTCCAGTCCTTCCGCGATGCCGGAGACCAACGCGAAAAGCATCAGCAACTCGTGGCGGCCGTGAGCGACGTTGTCCGAGACGAACTCGAGAAACTCCACGCGGGACCCACCCCTACATCTCGTCATTCGAGGCTGACACCGCTGGCCGGTCGTGATGGGGCAACGCCGCCGGACGACGCCGACTTCAGCGAGAGGCTACTGGAAGAAACCCTGGCCGAACTGATGGAAGAAGAAATGCAGGTTTGGAGGCTGTACGAAGAGACCATGCGCGCTCAGGAGATGGAGGTTCAAGCCGCCGTGAGCCATTGGAGTAGCGACGACGGGGTTGTGTGTCCGGTATGCCTACGTCTCGACCTCTCCAAGAGCGGTAGGCTGATATCCTGCGCGTGCGGCGTGAGGTTGTGGACCGAGAAGGACTTGGAAGACGTCAGGCGCTGCGTCGGACAGGCCGTCGAGTCGCATTCGCGTCTCTGTCCGTCCAGGCTTGTGTTTTCGGCACTGAATTCGGCCGCGGATCATTCCGAGCTTGTGGGCGTTTGCCACGTTTGTGACTTTATGACGGCCGCACTGTGATACTTGGCGCGCGAGGAACAAGCGAAATTGTATAGTGACGGCAAGTTTTAGTCACGACGGCGTACCTGTTTTGATGCGGGAGATGTTAATTGTAGTTGAAGAAATTGTGCACACAATCGTAGGATGTTGTTTTTACTTTCCTCGTGGACATGAGCCAGTTCAAACGCGTTTTTGTCTTCTTGTGTTAGATTTATGCTTCGACCCTCAAATTAAGTCTGTTGCAAAGAATAAATAGCGCTGTTTCCCAATATTCACTCGGACAAGCTGCTTATTTCCACTGACTGGGAATCCAGTCTTCGTGGATATGCGATGTGCATGTTGCCAATTTTCTAGCGTGTCGTCTTTTCGCGCCGTTTGCACCCCGTTTGCACCTTGAGAATACGACTACAAAGAACGCAACTTGCCTGTTGGACAGTGTGAGAGACACATCAGAAGCCGTAATCCTCAAGAGCCCGACTTTGCCTCTCTTGTCAGATGTCTAGGAAACTTTATACAGCCCCTGACCAATGAGAGCTGTCACTGTGGTTGACCATCGCTGTCTCTTACCGAGGCATGCGCGGGACATTCGATCTAGTCCACGGGAGCGCAAGTGGCATTAGATCTCGCCGCCGTATGGGATCTCTGGTTACCGCTACCGAAGCAATTGTCTTGGTCGATGCCGACAGAAAGTATGAATGCCGTCGAAGTAAGCCTGTCGGTAGTCGTCTCGTCGATCTTAGTCTTCTATTCGACCGCCTATGTTCGCTTGGCGTTAATCGAATTGACCACGCGTGGTGGCTGTACAACTTCTACACGAATTTTGTTTTCTGGCTCTACCACTTGACCTCTTCTGCTCTCCTGTTTCATGTTTTGATTCTATTATTTACTTATTCTCGTTGATTTTACCCTTCATGGGGTAAAATACCCATTTAAATGTAACAGAAATGACAGCACCAAAACAACAGCTCATGCTAAAAAATCCGCATGTGCTGTTTTTCTTGTTTTTTTTACTACAATTAAATGGTTAGTTTTCTTGTCTGCACCTTCTTTGGGATGGTGCTGCCATCTTTCTCACTCGGAGCGCACTATGCTTGGACGCTCCCTATGAGGTACGGGCCGCCAGGCCCAATCAGGTCCGGATCCACGTGCTTTTCCGACGTGCTTACCTGACGCGCTTTTCTATAATAATCCCTCGAGAAGGCTTAGTATGTAATATGATCTCTGTGGGAGAAGGGGAGCACGAGGGATAAAGGACAAACACAACTAGGCGACTGGTGCGCGACCGAAAAAATCCGCCTGGTCCTGGTGCTGGCCCTCCGAGACGCGCGCACTGATACATACGCGCCGCGGTTTCTAGCAGGCTCATGGTCTGACCAGTTTGACCGTGGCCAGTAGCATCGGCCTTTGGTCTGTCGGAGATACCGGCAGTTTTTGCTGTGCGCAGTTCGCACGCTTTGGCACGCAATCATACAGCGGATCGAGGCGGACACCTACAAACCGAAACCAGAAACGCCATACCACGTGATCTCGCGCGTACGCATTATAATTTTTCAAGTGTTCAATAGATGGCGCTGTGTGTGCAAGAGGCTTTTATTTGTGGCGTTTATCGACCGGTTTCGTCTGCTCTGCTCAAACCCTCAAGGCGGTTCGTTTCGTCGTAACCTTGGCCCTAACCCTCATAAACGTCGATGACGAACAACCACGACACAAAAGAGATGCAATTGAAATAAATACGAACACAATCAGCCATAGACTATTGCCAGCGGCGTCGTTACGAGCCGTAGTTCTTCCCAGTTATTCGCACGCGGCAGCAGATGCTGCGTTGAAATATTTTGCTTCACTAGCTCTGGATAACGCTCGCAGGCAGTCGTCATAACTAGTCCTAACCTTATCTGACACAAGCATGATGCCACAGATTAAATTGTGTCCTCATAATGATTTAAAAATATATATATATCGTTTGGGGGCCGAACACACACCGAGCAAAGAGTCGGGGAGTACCAAATTGCATAGGGCAGCCTTTTCTCTAGCTTCTGATTGGTTACCAAGTGACGTCACTTTGTTGTTAGGATCGGCGCCTGCGCTACGTGTGGTGGCGCATCATCGCCGCTTCGAGACACTTCGAGACCGCTGCCACCGCTGCTTTGCTCGCTTTGCTCGTCGCCGTTTCTCCGGAAGAGTCGCTTATTTTCGGTTCGGTCTGGTCTGCGCCCGAACAGAGAGAGGGAGAAAAAGAAAAACAAGAAGGAAAAGACCACGACCACGTTGTCGTGTCCGTGTCTCTCGTCTGGCCCGACACTCTCCGAGCAGCGCCTCTTCTCAACGCCATCCCTCGAGTACGGTATCGGAGCAAGACTGCTGCCGCACTGCATTTCGTGAGGTGGGTTCCTGACGCCGGGTTTGCCCTCGTCATGTTTTCTGCCGGTAGACGTTGTCGAGCTACCATCTTGAAATGCGGCATGAATGGACGCGTTAGGAGAGGTCTCCCGCCCGCACGGTTCCGACACTCGATATTGCTCTCGTTTCGCGACGCAGAACGTGCGATGACGGAAACTAGAGCCGGAGATCCGATACACTTCCCGACCGCACACACACACACGTAGCAACCGACGGCGTGTTCCGCTTGTGATTAGGTTTAGCGAATTAAGCGTGCCCTTCGATCCGCGTTTTCGTGTGTCCTCCGGTCAGCTGTTCGGGGTGCCATTTCCGGCGGTGGCCGAGCAGCTTTTAACACAGTTCGTCGCGTACTTTTTGTCCGATTCAGGGGCGAGATCGTCCGCCGTCGCGGTTCCCACTGAAAGGGGCCCCATCGTTTCCGCGCTGCTCCCGTCGTGGCACTTCGCTGCAAGGCATGCACGTGTTCTTATGACGGCTGCTCTTCGCCAAGCCAGCCTCCTCCATCAAGGTGAGCCCTTTTGACCTCGTCATTCATTCGCTACGCGGGGCACGCGCCCCTGCGTTTCTTTTGATGTTGGGACAGTGGAGCAGGTGTGCAGTATGTTCGGGTAGGCTTCGTGAAAAGGGCCGCGTATTACCTTGGCATTGCTTCATTTGACCAGGCAAATGGAGCACCAATCTTCGGTGGTCGCAGTGGCACATCCTCGTGTTATGCTTGCTATAATTACTGAGTGTCCCCTCTTTGGTTAGCTTCTTGTCTGCATCCGGTACTACCAGTTCCTTCACAATCTTAGCGTTCCCTTTATTTTTTTATTTTCATTTTTTTTTTTTTTTTTTATTCGTAGTTGAGGTGTTTTGTTCGGGGACTAGCTGTTGCGACCACTGATCTCTGTTATAATCGGCTGGGTCGCTGATCGAGGCTTGACCTGCTAGGGTCGAGTGGCACCACCGAAAGCCATGACTTGGCACCAGCTGATGCATATGACTCTATGGGGAAAACGAGAAAGTGTAAGTTCCCCCGCCTCTAAGCTGTTGTCGTCACTGAAACTTTTTGACTGCTGTTCAGGAAGCCAGTCAGATAGCTTGTGCACAAACATTAAAACTGACAGTCTCCACAGTTCTTATAGCTCAATGTTCAATCAGATAAGAGTTACCTAGAGTTACCGCAAAATCGGTGGCAATTCTGATGAGCTGGGTTTAGCCAGGAAGGCTTTGCTGCGCGGAAATTGCTTACTCCCTGAAAGCCGCTGTCAACATGAAACTTTTTTAACATTCATCAACTTCTAGGCTTCCTTCCCCAAGGGCGGTTTTATTGACGGCAAGTTCCTTTGTTTACTCCACTACGAGTGCAAGCTTGCCAGTTCAGCCATGGGTGCTCTGGCACGTTTGATTTTCTTATTGGCGTTCGAACGCTTGACAAATACCGATTCGATCCCCAAACACCCGATATAATGATCGCAGCACATTATAAAATACTAGCCTTCGAGCTCAGCGCACAAGCTTCAATATTCCTACTTTTGTTTGTTTCTCCCATAGACTTGCGTGTATTGCCTGATGTCAAGTAATGGCCGCCGGCGGTGCCATCGACGGGCTCCCGATACGCGATCTAGTTTAATCAGTGGTTGCAACGCGCTGATACCGACTACCTCGCATTCGACGAAACGCCAAATTCAATCATACGTCGCCTGGCTTCCTGCCATTGATCAACACCCGGCGGCAGACGTGAACTGGTATTGATGACGCTGCTTCGACGGACCGTAAACACACGTGTCGATTGTCATAGATCACCGTGTGCTCGCCGTTTCATTGTACTGGGTATGCGAGCTTTGATGGGGTGAAGGTCCGCGTCAATCGTTTTGCGCCTTTTTTTCATTTTGTTGTTCGTTTATATTTATGTAGCATTGACGTAGCCAGTATACACCATTCTAATCCTCAGCCCAGCACGCGCCATACGCACGAGTACTGAAAAGTGGGCAGGAGCACTTTTTTGGAAGGGTCTATACGTACGGAATGCAATGTATCATTGTCGAGAGAGATAGAGAGAATGCTTTATGGAAATAAAGTTGGCAAATGTTCTGTATATTGCTTCTGGGTAGACAGCTGAACTTTCAGATCACGTGAAGCGGTCTGACTTCCATATTCGGGCGGAGCCTTTACACGGACGATGTAATGTTACGAAACTTCTTGACAAAAAAGAAAACAAGCTGGCTGGTAGCTATTTACAATTACAAACACCTGGGACCGATGAACTCGTAGAAAGAGGGACAGACACGAAGTCTCGGAAGAGTCTGTTTTGCCCCATTTCCTCTGTGTTTATCAGTCTCGGAGTTTTGTAATTATGAATAGTTTTTTATTACCGTCTGTATCAAGTTATTTATTGATATATTTGCCCTAAAAGATCCTTGTTGGAGGACTTTACATAGGGGATGTTCAGTGCAATATTATGTGGAGGGTCTAATGTTATTGTAGCACAAATTTGTAAACGACCAGACAATCGACAGACCCTCTAAGTGCACTCCTGCTCCTGTCTGGCTTCGACGCCGTCTGCAAAACTGCTCAGTGACCGTTTCCAAAGCAAATAAATAAATAAACAATAAAAGAAGGAGAAGGTAAGCGGGGGATGGGGAGCACCTTGCCGTCCTTGAGGTCGAAGTAGCCCTCTTTGGGTGGGATGCGAGGTGTGGTGTTTAGGAGGGACAGCATTTCGAGGAAAAACGCGTCTACAAAACTTCCAAATAACTGGTTTCGGTGGTCAACCGGTACGTGATGGGAAACTGCTTCGTGCGGTGTGTGCTCTCCTGCAAAAGGTTGAGGGTACCAGCATGGCCAAAAACGCTGGGCCAGCGCCCGGACGGAGCGGACGCTACGAGCTATCCTAGCCAATCGCGCTTTGTGGAGGTAGCCCGTGATACGCTTTCCGCGCATCGCTGTGCCCCTCTTCAAGATCACGTGACACTCACACGGCCTTGGATTGGCTGGTAGACTGCGCATTTACCTGTTCTCATTGCTCTAATTTTGCGCATGCTCTCTATGAGAACGTAAACTTGTGCAAGGAGGTAGAGCGTATGGGCGAGAGGCATTGCTGACCTTGGTGGCTGTAGGAAAACATGTCCCCGGAAAAAAAGGCCCCAGGTGGGGAGTAGGAAAAAATGTCCCCAAAGGATTCTCTGTCTCTGGGTTTCCCTGATCCTCGTGGCCTTCGGGCGGTCCGGTCATATCTCCTTGGGGAAAAGGCACCCTGTGGCAAGTAGTAAAAAACGGCCCCAACAAATAAGGAAATGTAAGATTCCCCGAGGTACACATCGCGACACTGTTAGCGCGAACACGACATCGGCGCATTTTCACATTTTACTTGGAAAGAGTTTTAGTGGAAACGAAATTTTACCGTCTGCATTATATCCCCCAGATGAGCACTTTCAGTACCTATAATAACTTTGATGACAACCTTCCTTTCGTTTCCATGAAAAAAAAACAGAAAAAAAGAAACTAGCGATCTTTTGTTCGTGTTAACAGTGTCGCGCTTTTTACCTATTTCGAAATGATGCAGAAGTACCTCTCAAGTTTCCCCGAATACAATAATTTAATTTGGATTACTTCGGTTGCTTTGTGCGACTTCCAGTCTCCCTTTCAACCTCTAGGTGGGTCAGGTCATTTGTGACCGGAGAATGACAGGACCGCCCGAAGGCCATGAGAATCTGGGAAAACACAGCGATAGTGAACCCTTTGGGGACATTTTTTCCTACCTTCCACCTGGGGCCTTTCTTTCCGGGGACATTTTTTTCCGGGGACATTTTTTTCCGGGGACATTTTTTTCCGGGGACATTTTTTTCCGGGGACATTTTTTTCCGGGGACATTTTTTTCTGGGGACATTTTTTTCCGGGGACATTTTTTTCCGAGGACATTTTTTTTCCGGGGACGTTTTCTCCGGGGGCGTTTCTTCCGGAACCCGTCCTGGGTCTCTCCAGGAAACTTTCGTGTATTCCAGATCCTGTAATGGATTAAAAAAAAAGAAGTGATTTAGAAATGAGCTTTTGAAATAAGTGAATTATATGTAGCCGTGCAGTTCTGGAAGCTTCGTGCATGACTGTAGCGATGTCTTGCCATTACTTCGTCATATGCAATTAACAGATTGGGTTATCAAACCAAACGCTCGACCTTCCCGATTGGTATTTTCCTGAAAACTTGATATGCACAAAGAGGATTGTGTTTCGTAGCCATGATACCCTTGTCCTGCCATAAGCTCAAGCCAAGTGACCTTCAGTCCTCCTCTACTCCGTTTCATCGTACTTCCCACCTCAACCGAAGGCCCGAACGCATACAACCACTGAAAGTGCCTGTCGCTGGGCCTTGGTATATATATATAGATATGTGATTGATTTAACTAGAACACGTGTAGAAACATGACCAACACAGTTACGTTGCGCTTTTGACGCTCTTTGATTGGTCCCATCGACTCGTAGCTTTTGGTCGCAGGTTTGATGAGGCTTGCCACGTGATCCAATATGTTGTTTATCTCTCTCTCCTGTGTGTCTGACGTTGGCCATGTTGGCACATGTCTCGCCGAGCGGATGTGCGCCTGACTTCATATTGTAGCAGCTGTTTTTCGTGTTTCTTTTTGACTACGGGAAAACTACTGAGGTTTTACCGTTTTACTTTTTTTTTATGCGAACAGTTGTTCCTATATATATATATATATATATATATATATATATATATATATATATATATATATATATATATATATATATATTAGAATACAGTATTGCTGAGGCGAGTCTTCACATTTTGCGCCACTCAAATGTGGCACGACAAGGAAAAATAAGAAGTGAATCCTTGCTCTCGGGGCCACAAGAACGTGACGGCACGATTTGTTTATTTTCGGCTCCCGGCCCCCGCGATTATATTGGTTCTAGTGCATGGACAAATATAGCACCGGGGGGAATATTCTGAACCGCAAGGAGAAGATATCTATATTGTAAATAAACAGTTTCAGGTTAATACGCACGCTTAGGTCAGGTGACGCCGATAATTGTTGGCCTGCAAATTTCAATTATTGCTTAATAAAAAATAAAAAAAGGTTGATTTGTTATTTTAGACAAAACCCCGAGACTGGGGGAAGAAAAAGGACACTTCGTGTTGTGTTGCCCCCCGCCCCATTCTCGGGGTTTTGTCCAAAAATGTTAAACCTTCACCAGCTTGTTTGCGCCCTAACCTTTTGTTGATTTGTTAGCTTTTTCCTAAACATTAAAGTAGATAATTTGCTTTCAATAGGTTGAAGTAGCCAGCTTTTCATGGTCAAGCAATTGTCAGGGAATACGGCCAAAGACATTGCGAGAATCAAGGAAGTTCGTAAGAAAAAAAAAAATGCTGTGATTTATTGCATAGTTTTGTTTTTGAAGAGCCGCACATTTTTTACTTATTTATTTATTTATTCATGGTATTTCAAAAGCCCACTTTGAGGTAATAGACCCCTTTAGAAAGTCACGCGCCAATCATTCGAAGGTCGG